AGCAGCAGAAGTAGTAGTAGTAGCAGCAGTAAGTAGTAGCAGCAGAAGTAGTAGTAGTAGTAGCAGCAGAAGTAGTAGTAGTAGCAGAAGTAGTAGTAGCAGTAGTAGTAGCAGCAGAAGTAGTAGTAGCAGTAGTAGTAGCAGCAGTTAGTAGCAGGTAGTAGTAGCAGCAGTAGTAGCAGCAGAGTAGTAGTAAGATAGTAAATAGCAGTATAGTTAGCAGAAGAGTAGTAGCATAGTAGTAGCAGCAGTAAGTAGTATAGCAGCAAAGTAGTAGTAGATCAGCAGTAGTAAGTAGCAGCAAGTAGTAGTAGTAGCAGAGAAAGTAGTAGTAGTAGCAGAGTAGTAGCAGCAGAAGTAGTAGTAGCAGCAGTAGTAGTAGCAGCAGATAGTAGGTAGTAAGCAGCAGATAGTAGTAGTAGCAGCAGAAGTAGTAGTAGTAGCAGCAGTAGTAGTAGTAGCAGCAGAAGTGTGTAGTAGAGCAGTAGTAGTAGCAGCAGAAGTAGTAGAGTAGCAGTAGTAGTAGCAGCAGAAATAAGTAGTAGTAGCAGAAGTAGTAGTAGCAGCAGAAGTATGTAGCAGAGCAGACAGTAGTAAGCTAGAGTAGTTAGCAGCAGCAGAAGTAGTAGTAGTAGCAGCAGTAGTAGTAGTAGAGCAGCAGAAGTAGGTAGTAAGTAGTAGCAGCAGTAGTAGTAGTAGCAGCAGAAGTAGTAGTAGTAGCAGCAGTAGTAGTAGCAGCAGAAGTAGTAGTAGTAGCAGCAGTAGTAGTAGCAGCAGAAGTAGTAGTAGTAGCAGCAGTGTAAAGCAGAGTAGTAGTAGAGCAGCAGAGTAGTATAGCAGCAGAAGTAGTAGTAGTAGCAGCAGTAGTAGTAGAGCAGCAGAAGTATAGTAGTAAGCAGTAGTAGTAGCAGCAGAAGTAAGTAGTAGAGCAGTAGAGCAGCAGATAGTAGTAGAAGGGAGCAGCAAGTAGTATAGCAGCAGAGTAGTAGTAGTAGCAGCAGTAGTAGTAGCAGCAGAAGTAGTAGTAGTAGCAGAGTAGTAGTAGTAGCAGCAGAAGTAGTAGAAGTAGCAGCAGTAGTAGTAGCAGCAGAAGTAGTAGTAGTAGCAGCAGTAGTAGTAGCAGCAGAAGTAGTAGTAGTAGCAGCAGTCAGAGTAGTGTAGCAGCAGAAAGCAGTGTAGCAGCAGTAGTAGCAGCAGTAAGAGTAGTATGCAGCAGTAGTAGCAGCAGAAGTAGCAGTCAAAGTAGTAGCAGCAGAAGTAGTAGTAGCAGCAAAGTAGTAGTCAGCAAGATAGTATGCAGCAGAAGTAGTAGTAGTTAGCAGCAGATAGTAGCAGCAGCAAAGATAGTAGTAGCAGCAGAATTAGCAGCAGAGTAGTAGTAGCAGCGAGTAAGAAGTAGCAGATAGTAGTAGCAGCAGAAGTAGTAGTAGCAGCAGAAGTAGCAGCAGCAGAGCAGTAGTAGTAGCAGCAGAAGTAGTAGTAGCTAACAGCAGTATAGTAGCAGCAGAAAGTATAGTAGCAATAGCAGCAGAGCAGTAGTAGTCAGATAGTAAGTAGCAGCAGAATAGCACAGTAGTAGCGAAATAGTAGCAGCAGCAAGTAGATAGCAGCAGAAGTAGTAGTATAGCAGCAGAAAGTAGCAGCAGCAAGTAGTAGTTAGCAGCAGAATATAGCAGCAGAGTAGTAGTAGCAGCAGTAGTAGTAGTAGTAGCAGAAGTAGCAGCAGCAGAAGTAGTAGTAGCAGCAGAAGTAGCAGCAGTAGTATATAGCAGCAAGAGTAGTACAGCAGTAGTAGTAGCAGCAGAAGTAGCTAGCAGCAGAAAGTCAGAAGTGTAGTAGCAAGTGTAGCAGCACAGCAGTAGTAGCAGCAGATAGTCAGCAAGTAGCAGCAGCAGAAGTAGTAGCAGCAGAAGTAGTAGTAGCAGAAGTAGTAGTAGCAGAGTAGTAGCAGCAGAGTAGTAGTACAGCAGAATAGAGAGCAGTAGTAGTAGCAGCAGAAGTAGTAGAGAGAATAGTGCAGCAGAAGTAGCAGCAGCAGACAGTAGTAGTAGCAGCAGAGTAGCAGTAGCAAGTAGTAGTACAGCAGAAGTAGTAGTAGCAGAAGAGTAGTAGCAGCAGAAGTTAGCAGCACAGAAAATAGCAGAAGTAGTAGCAGCAAAGTAGTAGTAGCAGCAACAAGTAGTAGCAGCAGAAGTAAGTAGCAGCAGAGTAGTAGTAGAGCAAAGTAGTACAGCAAAGTGTAGAGTAGCAGAAGTAGTAGTAGCAGACAGAAGTTAGTAGCACAGACAAGTAGTAGTACCAGCAAGTGAAGATACCAGAAGTAGCAGCAGCAAATAGATAGCAGCAGCAAGATAGTAGCAGCAGAAGACAGCAGCAAGCAATAGTAGAGCAGCAGAATAGCAGCAGCAGCAGTAGTAGTAGCAGCAGTATAGTATAGTAGCAAGCAGTACAGCAGAAGTAGTACAGCAAATAGTAGCAGCAGAAGTAGTAGCAGCAGCAAGTAGTAGTAGCACATAGTAATAGCA